CAGGAATGGGCAGCTGGACTTTACAGATTCCAAGTTCCCTGGCTTCTCCTTTCCCGCGGGGAGCCACGCTCCTGGGACCCCCTGGCGCGAGGGCCTCCCGGCCCCAAACTTCCAGCTCGCGGAACGGGGGGCGGGTCCGAGCGAGCGCGCTTGGGGCTCTACACCCCGCGCCCTAAACTTCCCCTGAGCGCGGCTCCCGCGGGACTCACCGGCCGGGGCTCCGGCGCCGCCGGGGCGCAGGGTCCGCGGTTCCGGTTCCGCTGGTGCCTGCTCTGGCTGGGTCTGAGGCCGGGCTCCGGTGGGGCTCCGGCGGGGCTCCGGCTCTTCTCCGGCGCGGGGCGGGGCTGGACAGGGTCCGCCCCTCGTCCCCCCTCACGACTCAGGAAAACCTCCCCCCTGCTTTAACCCCGCACCTGCCGTGGCCAGAGCAGGGCGCGCCGACCCATGGTCACACGGAAACCGGTGAACAGACAGACGGACATGTGGACGCTGGGCCTGCCCAGGATTTGGGTCCGACCTCGGACTGGGGGAGAAAGGAAGAAGCGGTGGGCCGCACGACACGTGTATGGTGGGAGCCGTTCTCAGCAGGACCCAGCCTGCGAGCACCGGCGAAGGGGCGGGCCAGCAGAACCTGGGGGCTTGAGAAGCGGGCGCCTGCCCACCACCGCTGCGCTCCGAAGAGCCCACGACAGGCTTCTCGGCGGCGCCCCCTGGAGGCCTCTTAGGGTATGTCCTGGGCCTTTGGTGGGGGCAACGGCTTGGTCGCCCTTCCCCAAGCACGGATGAGGGCACAGAACAGGTTCTGTGGTGCACATTGAGGGTAGCAGGGGGTGGAGGAGCAGAAAGTGCCAGCCTCTGTCCTTGACAGGCCCTTCCACAGGCATGGGTGGGGGCAATTTTTGTGGGGGAGGGTAACAGAGCAGGTGATGAAGAGTCAGAGGCCAGGGGACCTCCCAGGCAGGTCACTCTGGGCTTATTCTGCAGGGCCTGAGGCCTGAGCTACTCTGGGACCCAAGGCACTTTGTGACTGTCCATCTTCAGGGTCCTGGGCCTGCCTCTAGCCAACTCCGGGGTCAGGCGAGAACAAGTTGGTGTCACAGAGGCAGACCTACTTCAGACCCAGACCCTGGCCCATCCTATCTTCTGAGCATCAAGAGTACTGGCTAAGTCTGTGAGCTAGGGGCCCATTTGTACAGGTCAGTGGTCACCTATGAGAAGTCCTCGTGATTGTGCTTGCTACCATTTGTCCCTCTTTCATGGACAGCGTCTGCCTCACTTTCTCCAGAAGCACACCAGGAGACTGAGATACAAGTGCATATAGTTAATGTGGGAGATGAGGACAAGAAGCACCAGTAGAGGAGTGGCAAGGAGACAGGGAAAGCAGCCAATAAAGGGGTGTGTCATCAAACAAGTTCCCACTGTGGGCAACAAGCACCAAATCCTGCTGGGGACTCTGGGAGCCTTTGTAGAACATGGGCCTCACATTATTGTTCCCATCAGAGCAAGGGAATGCTAAGGTATTCATTCTCAAATCTCCATCAGTCATGGGTTGAGAGCAACTTGGAGACATGAATACCCTAGCCTGCCTGACTTCTGGCCAGCCTAGAGGGTGGGCAGAGCATTCTGACCAGAGAGAGAGTCTTCAGTCCTTTTCAGGGGCTGGCAGATGGAGTTGGACGGCCTGCATGGAAATGGTGCCAAGGCTGGTTGCAGATCCTGGCAAGAAGGCTTCCATCCTCCCACTCCACTCTGCCCCCAACATGCTCCTCAGTTAGGCCAGTCACTGGTACCTTCCTCCATATGGTATTCACACTGTCCTGCAGACCCCCTCACACTTCCCACTATTCCCTTTCCAGGCCCCTTCCCCTCTCCTTTCCAGTAATTAAGCACATAAAAGCCTCCTGCCTTTAGATACCTCCCAGCACCCCAAGTCCTTCCATTGTCCCCATCCTTCCAGTCAAACTCTTGAAGTCATCTTCTCTCACAGTTTCTGTTGCCTTGGTGTTGGCCAACTTATATCTGCTATCACTGCTCCCCAAAACTTGGTATTGCCAAAGTCACCATGGAACACCATATAGCTAAAACGGGGCGGGGTGGGGCGGCTATCATCTTTTTCTCAACTGAAATCTTTCTGGCCTCTTCAAAGCCTCACCCACCCTTGTGACCTTGGCTTCCTCCTGCTGCTTGTCCTGCCCCTTAGAGGCTTTTACAGGCCCTGCTTCCTCTCCTTCCCCAGGAAGTGGCTCCTCAAGACCCAGCCTTGGCTTTTCTCCCTGGCACATAGACTCCCTCCTGGGGTGATCCCTTCAAGGCCACTGGCCTCACTCACATCTAGATCTTCACCAGATCTCTCTGCTCAGGTGGATATGGGTCTAGGGTCCATCACTAAGGGATATAAAAGATGCCAAATGGAGAGGAAGGGCTGGGTCCTGGGACGGCCCTGTGGTCTCTCCAACCTCATCTCATCTGATCCCAGTTATGCCCGGGATGGTCAGCATCCACCAAAGTCCAGGACAAGTCAGACTTGGCCCTGATGAATGATCCCAGAGAGTTCCATCTGGGACATTCTGGGTACCAAGAGGCAAAAGGATCAGCCTCCCCTCAGGAAGCTAGGTACCCCAGACCATTTCCCTGAACGCATATCATCCCCACAGTTCTAATGTGTGGAAGGGACATAGACTAGGGGTGGACCTACCTTTTTTTGTCCTCCACTTTGTGCTGACCTCTAGGCTGGACATCACCAGAGAGGTATCCTCTTTCCAGGACACACCTAGGCCCATGTCATCCCTGGAGGCTGGGCTCTGCTTCTTCGTGGAAGTGGCTTCTGTTTACACAGGCCTGGCCCCACCTGCACACGGGGGGCCAACACTGCTGGCTTTAGAGAAGCTGTAGAAGACAACTTGGGCAGAAGATGAGGCTGGATTGGTCCTAAGAGTGAACAACTAATCCTCAACCATGGATGGGGCAGAGATGGGGCTCACCCACAGTTGGGGACTGGGAGTGCTAAGGCGGGACTTCCTGATTGCAGCCCCGAGACTCTGGCCCTTGAGACCCTATCCTTCCTTTCTCTCTACCAATACAAGGGGCCAGAAGCATTGACCCCAGAGGAGCAGGAGAGTTTGCATTTCCTGCTGGACATCTTGGCTATGCTTAAAGGCACTGAGGACCCCACCATCAGGGCTGAGGCCCTGAGAAGCTCAGGTGCACAAGGTGAGGCCTAGGGTGGGGTGAGTGTTTCTCTGTAGGGGTGCCCAGACCCCTCTGTAGAGGCAGGGAAGCATAGATCAGGTAGAGGATCCTGGGGTTTTATGGGGAGTGAGGAGGGCTATCAACCAGTCCCCAAATGAAGCATCCAGTCACACTTTGTGACTGCCCATAGGCTTCCACCTGCCCCCCAGCTACCAAATTTACACCACTGTACATGTCAGGTCCAAAAGTTATGACAATATTTTTGCCTCTTAGCTCAGGCTCTGACCCAAGTACAGATGCCCCCACCATCTCATCCATGAAACCAGGACTTCCAGGTTGACTTCCAACCTGGAGTTGGGGGTCCTTGACCAAGAAGTGCCTTTGGTCAGAGCAATAGAGACCGTTCTGACCCTTTAGACTCCTAGGGTTAATTTTTACCTATGTCCTCTCATCTGATGCTGCTTGGGTAGTGAGCCCTGTAACCACCACCCCTCTGCTGGCCCCAGGGTACATGTGGAAAGACTGTACAGGTGGAAAGAAGTCCCAATCTCTTAGGCCAAAGAGCAGGGATTTGGGAAAGAG